TGTTTGCCGGTCCTGTTCGCGGCACTCCGGGTCGCTCGCGCTCCCTGGGGGCTGCTTTTATACGTCAGGAGGGTCGGGCCGCCGTCACCCCTGACTCCGCCCCCGCTGCGTCAGAGCTGCCCGCTCGTTAGGAGCTGGCTCTGAGGTGAGGGGGGAGGGGGGCTCGGGTGCCCTCTCCCTCCCTGCGCTTTTGCCTTCGCGGTTTTTGCCGCTTTTAGGAAAGGGTCCCCCGGCGCGATCCTCCGCTCCGGAGCCCTTCGCCTCGGTGTCTTCGCCGAAAATGCCAAGTATTAGACTGCTTCATCACCTTCTATGAAAAAATAACCAGGGTAGAGTTTGATGCAAGTTGTGCCTTTCACAGGGAACTGAGGAGGGCTGGAAACTCAGTCGTATGTGCTTTAGACTTCCTTTGTTTCCTCGGGTTAATTCATTAAGCTCACCGTGTCTCAGTTTCTTCTTTTGTAAAGTAGGAGTGCTGAGAGAGTTGCTTAGTAAAGGTGAAGATATTTTGAGATTTCTGGAACATGAGAAGTTGCTCTGTTTGCCAAGTATTAGACTGCTTCATCACCTTCTATGAAAAAATAACCAGGGTAGAGTCTCAAAGTAAGGGAACAGCTTTATGGAGGCGCCTTCTCTTGGAGTTTGACCCCTCTGCTGAAAAGATGAGAGGGCTCACCCCAAACCTGGCTCCTTCCTGGGGTAACCCTGTGCCTCCCTGCTAGCTCCAGTTTCTGCCTCTGCCCTGGTAGAGCTTTTCCCTGCCTGAATCAGCTCCCAAAACCTCAATGACCAAAAATGATTCAGCAAAAAAACCCTGAAAGAGCCTTTGCTTTCTCCCTTTTTGCACTTTATTTTTGCCTGCTCGAAGGTAGGCTGATGGGCACCTCCCCTAGTCCTGTCATCTCAGCCCTGGTCTGTGTAGTGTTAATGCCATGGAGAGGCTGTCAGAGTGGTTGTGTGCTGAGGACTGATGTGGCCTAGTATAATTAGCGCAGAGTTTGCGCCTGCTGTGCTGGGGGTCTTATGTATTTGGATGACCCCCGTCTCTTTCATGACCTTGCTCCGCAGGAGCTGCTGGACTGCAGTGCTTTGCCAAATAGCAACATAAGAATTCATGTTCAAATTAAAACCTAGAATTTTTTTGTTTCAATAGTTTGTGTTCAATTCTTCCCAGAATTGTTGTCTGATATTGGCGCTTATGCTGGATGGAGAAGTAATTTTTGTTATTTTTTTGAAAGTGCTTGTCTGTATAAGTCAAGTGATCTTGTTATTTTGAGTCAGTTCAAGAGGAATAGATTGAAAAAGTACAGAGAGCAATGCATAGTCTGCTAGTATTCAGAATATACCTTACCTTTTTTTTTCATTACTCCACAATGAGTATTTGGAGGAATATTATCATGACATATGATCCCTGGTAATAATGTGATGATAGTCAGGTTTTCATTGAAAATGCAGGAATTTCATACTGAAAAAGTAATTCTTCTATGCCATGAAAAGTTGTTAAGAATATATCTTTAGCTGAATAAAGAGGATTCAATTAACCTCAGTACAGCTGCTCTGATTTACAGTGTCTGAGGATCTGACCCATACACGAAAGTCTGTACGAGTCTGTGTCATAATTCCTGGATTAAAAGAAATCATTTCCATTCAGTTCTATTCGTATTTGGTTTAAAACCACAGACACTGGCCTGTCTCATTGATGGTTCATGGTAGAGCTGACAGCCACACCAGCTAAATATGCCTGTAAAGCTGTATGTTCTGGAAGGCAATGCTTTTGAAATTGATAATAGAGCTCTCAACAAATGTCCACGAGAAAATGAAACTGTTCAAATCTGTTTTTAGAAGTAATAGGGTGCATATATTATGTACTGTTTGCTTGTCTATTATAAATTATTACCAATAAATGTAAGTGGGAAACTGTTACAAAACATAGCCCTGAGCAAAAATTGACACACTTTGAGAAGACAAGACTTCTTTACAAATGCAGATCAAATGTTTTATCCTTAAAATATCGGGAAAAAATGGGTCAGAGCTGAAAACCACAACAAGGTGCTGTGTATTTCAATAGTAAACACACTGCATCACAAGTTAGAACAGAACATTTCAGTATTTTAGCTGAAATCACTGGTAAGGGATTTAACTAAAATGGTAATGTAAAGTTTAAAATCACTGAAAAATTTTAGGTTTGTGTTTCAGACATTTGGTTTTTTACTTTCTAATTATTTGGGGACAA